GATGAAATGAAAGTGGGGAAAACAGCGAACAGGGAGAACAAACGAATGATTTTTTTGATAGTTTTCCCGTACATATTTTGAAGATTCCTGTATCTGTTATGGGGAATGGGGTATCGCCAAGCAAACCGCACAGCAATCACGCCACCGACATCTACTCTGAGTCATATCTCGCAGCGTTTCTAATCATCGGCAATCCTCATCAATCGGACTTCAGTCTGGAAGGCGAGCTACAACAACCGATACCAACGCTGAGAATAAATTCTTCATTCTTCTAGGCCATGTCATGGTCTGACCGTTGCGAAGCTTCCTCCAGCCTTGCCCGGCACGTGCAAAGAGAGCACGGAGAGGTAGTCGGTGGGAAGGCATTCGAAAAATATGACCGAGCCATCGGAGATTTCTTCTGTTAGAGAGCAACTATCCACACCCAACACACGACGACGAATTTCATTGCTCACCCGATAATCTCACCATACACGAGCAATGCTTCGAAGGCATCGGTGGTAGAATACGGAAAGTCGATTAACAACCTCAGCTCGGAGAGGCCAGGTCTTGCAACTGTAAAGCAGAACACTACGGACCGCGGCGATGTACACCCTTCCCTTAAGAGACAGTCGGATGTCACGACGGCATCACAGATGTCGCAGGTTGGCAAAAGCTGCTCTAGCTTTCGTTATTCGTAATGTGATCTCTTCCCCAATCCCACCTCCAGCTGGGATTAAGCTCCCGAGGTACTTAAAGCTCTCGACCATTTCTATCCGATCACCAGAAAGAGTAAGTGCAGGCACAGGATCCTACCAGCCTTGAGAGGGCCCTTTGCATTTTGATGATGCAAAGCACATAGCATACCTGAATAACTCTATCGCCAAGTGGCGAACAGCTTGTTGGACTGACTGCATTGTCACCCAACAAGGCGATGTCATAGGCATATTCTAAGTTAAGAACTCTGGTACTTGGAAGTTCGACTTCACCGTTTTCTAAACCGGATAAAGCGTCCTGCAGAACATCGTCTACGGCGAAGTTGAAGAGGAACGGGGATATAGGGCAAGCTTTTTGAACTCTACTAGAGACGGCAAACGCTGGCCACAGGCCCTAACCCGATCTGAAGAATGACGATCCAACTATTTTAGGATGGTTACATACCTATCTGGTACTCCATTCCTTAACAAACAGCCCTATAGTGCTGTCCTATAAACAGAATCGAAGGCCGTGCGAATGTCTAAGAACACAATGATCGTTGGTCTACGGTAAGCAGCTGTCGAAGAGTGAAGATTTGATCGACGCAGCCACGACCGGCACGAAATACAGCTTGCTTCTCACCCGTCTTGTACAATTTACGAAGAATGATGGACGCCAACAGCTTTGACGCTATCGGGATCAGGATAAAGGAACAGAATAAAGATTAGAATGTTGATAGCAAAGTCAAAGTGAAAATAGAGGAATCACACAGACTATGGTTGCAAGAATAATGAGCAGATGCACGTAAACCACTGTTTGCGACACTCAGTCATATTGTAACGAGAAGGCGAGCTGGCTGGGAAAACGTCTATTGATCCACTTCAAAAACAAACAGTGTCTGCGTTCGATTATATACAGTCAATTCTGAACCGCGCGGCGGGATGATTCATGCCTCTTTCTGTGGATCATTCGTTGTTGGTCTTGGTCCGCACTTGGTACGTACGTTGCCTCTTCTTCCGCGTGCCATTCCGACTGGTTTGACCCGATCGCGGCGCGAGATGCGTTGATCGACAGCTTCGACGTTGTGGCATTCGGTGGGTATCTTTCCCGTTAGCTGCGGATTGTCTTTCGGGCTGTAATTGTCGATTCACTCGTTTCGGGTGGCAGTCAACATTGTCTCGCGAGGCACTTCCCGCCGCTGCGTCTGTGCGTCTGGTCGGATGGGCCCCATTCTTGCTTCGGTCGCTAGCCAAGACTCTCTTTGAACTGCCTTCCATCACAATATCACTCAGTGTCTCTAACCACCGGCTGCCACGATCTCGCGGTTCCCATACAAGGAGCCTAACGTGACCTAAATGACCCATTTTCCTGGCTAAAGTTTTTATGCTATCATGCCAGGTTTTAATTTGGCCACCCTTGGCTTTTTCCATCCACTACCTGCCTCGGCAAACATCGCTTACCGTGGTAACTTATTTGGTGACATGCGCAACACGTCCTAACCGAGGTAGTTTATGGAGGTCGACTACCTGCTCCAATGGACGACCACGATTATCTAAGACTCTGTGCTTAGCCTCAGCATTGTTTGTCCAGTTACCCCACCAGACTCGTGCAGTGAGGTGTAGACAGCGATGTCCGAACAAAGACAATCTATTTTTATCCTGTTCCCGTAATGGTCAAGTCTGCATTGTAGAGCAGGACTGGCCGAAATGTTACAGCAAATACTTGATTCTTCAGACAGCCGGATGTCGCGACGGTGCCACAGATCTCTCAAGTTGGCCAATGGTAACAAAGCCTTCTGTATGCGTGCCGACACTTCATCTGTGACGCATCTGTAAGGTGAGATATAGCTGCCCAGATACCAAAGTTAATCTACTTCCTCTACTACTTCCCCAGCTAGAGTGAGGTTGGGGGCTGGACTAACCCAATCGCGTAGCAGCATTTTACACTTTGAAGGCGCAAAACGCATACCAAACATGGTTTCAATAGCACTCAAGCAATTCAGAAGAGCTTGAAACTTACTTGAATCTTCGCATAGCGGTACAATGTCGTCTGCATACTCGAGATCAGACAGTCTACCTGGGAGCAAACCGATACCGCTTTCCTCGCACGATATACGTGGTGTTTCTTTTGCGAAGAACCCAAGTCAAGAGTTAAGCCCATCACATCCTCAAGCACTGTCGCTGATCATCCATGACCGATTATTCAGTGTGTTTAGGCCCATCTTATTGGTGGTTAACTGCGAAATTCACAACCTAGGGATCCGCTTGGTAGCATGCAGCTCTGACCTTCCGAGTCATTAGGTACTATGCTTGTTTATTACAAACCCTTGTCTGATGAACGGTAGACGGAGAACAAGCCATAATTACAAGGACCTTTTGTCCACTCATAGAAACCGCCAAACTAAGACCTTGGACTTGGAGTGGAGAACCACATAAAACCTCAAAAGGTTAGGGATAGTGCTATGGCAATGAGGAAATTGAAAACTGAATTGCAGACGTCACAAACTGACTGAAGTTGCGCTTGTTTCGTTCAGTGATTTTGATGAGTTCAACGGTTAGTTTTATTAAATGTCTACAAGACAATCAACATTGTAAAATTATCGAGGGTGTCAAACATTTTTGGCTCTCGCTCAGTGAAGACTTCTACTACTTCCACGCACGAGACCCAACTTGGCACGCAAAGTGGAATATTTGCGCTTATGGTTCTGTAACAACGTGATTCAACACCGAAGAACTAACACCACCAGTGATACCGATGCAACGAAGGGGTCTCTTAATTATCCGTCTCCAGTATCTGTAATGAAGAGCTGAGTTAGATACAAGTTACAGAAAACAAATACTACTTCAGGAAACCCTAAACTCGAGTTTCGAGGAGTAACTTTGGTGCCAATTGGTGAAAATAATCGAAGACATTATTGAAGAAGGTATAACTATATTTGACGAAAAATCTTGAAATAAGCGTATCGAAAGGCAGTCAAGCTGATTTCACAGATTCCAGTGGTACTGGGGCTGATTTCAACGCAACATTTTCGGGAACATAAAATTCCCCCGACTCAATGTCACCCGCGATTCGTGAATCAGCTAGGTCATGCAAATGTTTGTCAAGCCGCGCCATCATTTCATTTGCACACTGGACTTTATGTGCTGTCAATGCATAGTAGAACCTGACAGTAAATCCGATCAAAACGAACAGTGCTGGAATCATGATCACGGTACTTGCTAGCGCAGCGGACCAGCTGAGGTGCCAGAATTTGATCCAACAGGCCAAAACAACGACAGCAAGAAACAATAAGATTCCCACGACGGTGCTGCAAACCCAAGCAACTTCAATAAATCTAAAAAAATGTTTCCATTTGGATCTAAACCTAAACTTACGTTCTTAGACGGAAATGTGGGGCATTCTCAATGGGTCCGAACTCACGTAAAGCCAAGTATGAATCCAAATGCGGTAAGATACACGTGCTGATCAATACGGCAACCATATGAACAGCTATCAGAAGGCTGATCAATACGGTGTATGCAATCAGAAGTCCTTGAGGAACATCACCTTTAGTGTCTACAATCTATCACTGTACAATAAGTGAGGCACGTAACTGCACCTCCATTTCAATAATACCAACAATGGCGAAACCCGCCAAAAGGGCAGAAACACGGCCTGATGCTTTCAGTTTTCCGCGACTGAGTTGAAGTTGCTTCAAAGTTAAAGACTCCATCGAGTGATTAGATTTATCAGGGACATTTCCAAACATCTAGTGATAGTTGGAAGATAAAAAGCAGAAACAAGTCAAATTAGGATGACATTCAGTAAAGGCACCGCAAAACACTGATAACATGGATTAAAAAGTACCTCAGGAAAAAACATTACAATCAATTCTTAAAGGGTTTTCGGGATCTGAACCATCTATGTATATTTCTACACAGAAAGTACTCTGAAATGTAGCACCTACCAAAAGTGGCAGTCACAAGAATATTACCGCTTTCCAAGCTACCGCACCTAGTATTTTGTTATCGATTGATTCTTAAAAAGTCAAAACGTGACTGGTCGCCACCAGATCCACTGCTGCCTCCATTTTATTGAATGATTGATTTTGATACTTAATGCCCAAAATGCATATTATTTATGTTTAATAAGTACGAATGTGATTTATTGGGGTTGCTCATCATCCACTTTGCGGTTCACGATGAAAAAGATGTGTATCAATCAGAACAGATTCAGTTTATACAACCTAGTAAACTTTGTGCCGCGATTGCTGTCTTTTAGTAACCTCATCATCATCATCATAGCCATCGTCGTACTGCGAAATACAGAGAAGCGAACTTTACTGATCGCTGCCAAACTCATAATACATATACACTGGGGTCTTTTAGTAACCCAGTTGAAAGTCAGTACAGAGAAGCATAGGATGCCGGAAGTAGTCCGTGTTAGCATAGAGAATTCAGGTAAACTAAAACTAAATAAATTGAGTGGACGCACAAGCGCCACTGTCTACAGGAAGCCAAACGCGAACTACATATCCAAGTTCCTTGACCGATGCTTTAATACCATCTGTCATTTTTCAGTTTCAGGAACTTTCCTAATCATCATTGGACGGCGAAAAACAGTGAAGCAGACGTCATTGACCACTGCTAAACTTACAATGCATACAAAGTTAGTGGGCAGAGATGAGGCCTACATTGAGGGAGGGGGAATACACAATCTAATTATGTATGCATAACTTACCAAGCATTTTGGCCCGATAAGAAATGACAACAAGAAAGCCATCGCTGTCAGTTAGTTGCAATAACACTCAGTGTTTCCAACCTGGAAGAGAGAGACTTACCGTACCTAATCGTGTTTTGCATTTCCCTATGCCTTGTCTCCACGTAATTTGAGATCCAAATGGGTAACCAAAAGACAGCAACCAAAACCGGTGCACAAAAGTACATGGTTAATATAGTTGTAAAAACTGAACTGAACTGAACGCAATTTGGGAAAACACGTCGGTAAGCGAACAATTGTTTTCGGATATTCCTAGCCATGCTCTTACGCGTCATATACTGCCTTTGGAATCCTTAGTATGATCAGGGGTGCGGCTGGTCACCCCTCCATTGCACTTCGCGAACGCTCCCACATGACCAAGCGTTTCAAATAACTTCTGTGAAAGTGGACGTGTTTTCCCACCAAAGTGAGAGGACGAAAAGCCAATATCCGGGTCGATGAACCACTGGCAGTTCACCTAGGCGGGGGGGGGGGTCGGCTAAAAACTCTGATGCCACACCAAACAAGAAGCGTAAGAACCACGTATACATTTTCCTAGTCGTGGTAGTGGTCATCGGTTAGATTTAGCATCGGTGTATTGGGCACCTTGGATGTTTGATCCGGTCTAAAGGGCGTATGATCCGATGAACTGGACACCAGCCCCCAATGGATTGCGGTTTTTGCATGCGGGCCAGGCTTTGGTTAACCGAAAGCCCCGGTTGTGAATTCCCTAGGAAAATTCACTCGCTTTGGCCTGAGAAACCTAGCAGTATCGTGCCCTCTAGCAAATCATAGACTTTGTTCTTTGTATAAAGATTATTGCATAGTGATTTGTTTGACGTATGTGAATATACAAACGTAGTATAAATATACACCATATAGCAGAAAATGCTTATATAGTGATAACCATTGACTCAATTTAAGATCAGTAAAAAGCCTGATGAACGTCTCAGGCATCCCGTCGGACCACAATATGCACCACAAGGATTCTCTATCGACAGAGTCAAACGAAACGCGGAAGTTAATGAAACATGCTGAGGTAGAGTGTTGGAACTTGTAGCGGTGTTTCCGAGTCCTACGGAGAGTGAAGGTTTGTTAAACACAGTCTCTTTCGCGGCGAAACCCCCATTGGTTCGGGCGAGTGCGGGTATGTCTGACGACTGCGAAGCGATTAAGCAGTAAGACTACAAACAATTTGGTCGCAATATCAATGAGGCTAATACGCCTGTAATTTCGTTTCTAGATCTGTCACCCTTTTTTGGAGCCAGGATTAAAATTGCAGTTGCCCAATCTTTTGGAAAAACTTCTCTTTCCCAAATGGTGTGGAAAAGAGAGTGCAGCGGATGGATCAGAGTTGGTAGGCAAGCTTTGAATAGTTCTGTTGGTATCCCGTCTTCTACAGGGGGCCTTTCTGCTTTTCAAAGAAGTGACTGGATTGATGATTTCTATCGTTGGTTAGAGACGCTGAGAGATATGACCCAGAATAGAAGTCAGTGGCGCGAATGCTGTACGGTCTGCTTGTCGAAATCCCGTGCCTCGTAGGAAAAACAACAAACAACACAAAAAAGTATCAAAAGGTGTACGGTGAAACACAAAATTTCTTTTTATTCCAGACACCTTCCATTTTTTCGTGTTTAACTGCTTCACCCCCTTTTCACTCTCTTCTGTACCCCAATTCACCTGTCCCCTTTGATTATTATTGTAACCATTGTTGTTGCCTTGACACCATGCTTGTCTACAAGCCGGTGGTAAAGTATATACATACTAGGCGAGTCACAATTGATGTCGTAGGTCTTCGAACTGCTTGATACTTGTGGACAACGATGTTGCTTTGATAGACATGTGAGCAGCTCATCAAAGTGTTCGATCCACCTTTGCATTTTCTGTTTAGTTCCCTGAAATGGCTCGTGATGCAGCGCAACAGCGGCTCCTGTGTTTATCTCTCTCCTGCTGAGACACGAATTAGACGAAATAGGTAACAAAGTCCGGTGCAACGGCTGTAGCCTCCATGCTATCTGCAATCGCCTTTCAGTATTGTTTACGGTCCCCCTTGGCGGAGCGTATGGCTTGGCGACGTAGAATGCAGAATTCCGAAGAATCGATCAGCCGTGCATCTCTTGTCTTTGCGGACAACTGCAGTTTATGCTTGGAGGTCCAGTCTCTTTTGTGGCGAAGAGTCTTACCTAACTGCCCCAGCGCCGTTTCTCTGATAGAATTTTTCAGCGTGGAACATTGTTCGTCGACAGTTAAATCATCGAAGGAAATTGCGGCTATGTTGGAAGCGGTTGCGTCCAGCAGCGCCTGCCTTCTCTCAGATCGTTCCAAGAGCACGACGTTAAATTTACTCGGGAGAAGAGTCTTCCGGCAAGCATTCAGGTGTATCTTGAAGCGGGCGCGTACAAGAGTATGGTTCGTGTTGTTCCTGTTTCCAGTTTCTGCACCGCGATAGGAACGGCAGTCTTCCACTGAGGAGGCCCAGCGAGCACACACCAAAATGTAATCAATCTGATGTGCCATTTGACCGTCATATATCACGTAAGTAGGTGTTTTCTGGGGTTCTGGAAACGGGTGTTGGCCACGAACAGTTGGTTAAGATCAGCAAATATGACTAGGCGTCCGCCATTTTCGCAACGTTGACCAAGGCCGAACTTTTCCAGAACTTGCCGAGTATGCTCGTCTGATGAACCAGTGCGTGCATTCCAGTCTCCTGCGATAAGGAGAATGTCGAAGTTCACTGCGTCTTTGATAGGCTCTTCCGTATGTAACGTTGGAGAATATACAGCGATGTCAGTCAGGTTAAACCGCTTACCTCTGAAGCGCGTTTGGTAATCCTAGGGGAGATTGGTTCCCAGGAGATCATGGCATTGTTGGCCCAGTCGCTCACGGCGATTGCTACTCCGTGCAAACTGGAGTTGTCAGTTGAACCGCTGTGGTATAACGGGAAGGCTGCGTCGCTATGTGATATGTTGATAGTCTTCCTTTGAGCAAAATAATTTCACAGCATTGTCTTAGGTGGCTAGGGCGTCCTACGAATGCCTGAGCACCGTCTGCCACACCGTGCGCTACTCGTACTCGGTCCAGGCTGGAAGAAACAGCGAGGTGGACAGACTATGACGTGGCGCAGAGAGTTAAAGAGATTGTGCTCGGATCTGGCTTCCTTTGGGGTTTCTCAGCTCCCTGGCTGGCGCCCCCAAGATTCAGATCGTCTTTGGCTGGAGACACTGCGTGATATGGCATCGAACCGAAGCCAGTGGTGCGAATATATCCTCTCCTGTTTGCAATCCCAAAAATAATTAAAAAAAAACGAATAAAACTCAAAACGGCGTGCAGTAAACAAACAAAAAAAGTTGCTACTCCCAAAGTTGAATGTTTTATCTCCCCGCTTTTGTACCCATATTTTTTCGTTCACCCATGGTTATTTGGCGCCGTATCTGCAAAGATTGGTGTCATATATATATATATATATATATATATATATATATATATATATATATATATATAGTGATCAGTTTTGTGTCACAGTTAGGTAGTTAAACTTCGGACAAACAACAGGCAACTACTTTGTAGTCGTGCAGTGAGCGCATTGTGATACACTGGCTTTCTATGTCTAGCAATGTCCTAACATTCCATCAGGCTACGTGGAAACTGAATTTGGTGTCCATATGGTTTAGGTTTACAGCTTGGTCATTTGTCACCCCAGCCACTGTGAGTGTCGCTTCCGGGGAACGCCGTAGCGTGAACGCGACGTACCATTGTACGACGATCCATGAAGAAACTTAGAAATGAGGTACTAAGTGACGTCCCCAGCGTCCCTCGGCTTTCGTTCGAGGGTGTATCTCCAACCCTTGCATAACCAAATGTGACTTGCAGGGTAATAGGGTAGAATGGTTGGTAGCCGATGACCGTCAGAGCGGCTCATACGCATTTCGGATGGCTCAGTGCCAGTCCCGGATCCCGTGTCCGCGAGCTCTGAGGATCGGTAGCATTCCTCAGTCCTGGATACCTTCGAGTTAAGCAGAGTTAAATGCTACCAGGCGCGTCCCCGGGTTGTGAATAGGGAGATACCTTCACCGAAGAAGGTTAGCTGGGAATAAGTTGTGGCATACCGCAAAAAATAAGCAGTCGTGAACGAACAGCGGCGGCACTTCCAGGGTGTGGTGGGTTTCAGGCTTGTCTGATATAGAGTACGCAGACGACATTGTGATACTAAGTGAAAATCCAGGTAAGCTGCAAGCTTTTCTGGATAGTTTGAGTGCTCATGTGGCCATGTTCGTTTTGCACCTTCAAAGCGTAAAATGATGCAACAAGATTGAGTTGGCCCAGTCCCCAACCTCACCCTGACTGGGGAAGTAGACAAGTTTTGCTGTTTGGGTAGCTATCTCACCTGGCGGACGCATCACAGATGAAGTGCCCGCGCGCATACAAAAGGCTCAGCTGGCATTTGCCAACTTGAGGCATCTGTGGCGCCGTCACGACATACGTCTGTCTGTGATGGGTCGAGTATATGCTGGAGTAGTTCAGGCGGGTGCTGCTTTACGGTGCATAGGTTGCGCTGGTTGGGACATGTGCTACGCATGTCACCAAATAGGTTGTCACGGCGAGCGATGCTTGCCAAAGCAGGTAGCGGTTGGGAAAAAATGAAGGGCGGTCAAGCTAAGACCTGGCATGAGGGTATGAAAACCCTGATCAGGAGACTGGCTCACATAGGTCCCGTTAGGCTCCCTGGC